CGAGTGGTAATAGCAGCGATGGTAGCCGCGGACACGATATCTATCAAAGCAATTCAAGCACTTGTAGTGGCACTAAAAATCGTACTATCCACAAGTACAGCGGTAGCCATGGTGGTAGCACAACCAATCGCAATCGCAGTCGCAGTAGTAGTGGTAATAGTTGTAATAATACTAGTCGTAGTGGCAGTCATCGTAATAGTAGTAGTAGTAGTAGCAGTAGTAGTAGTAGTAATAGTAGTAGTTGTTGTAGTAGTAGTGGCAGTAGTGGTCGTCGTAGTAGTAGTAGTAGTTGTAGTAGTAGAAGTAGTAGTAGTAGTAGCAGTAGTAGTAGTAGCTGGAGTGATAGTAGTAGTAGTAGTAGTAGTCGTCGTAGTAGTAGTAGTAGTAGTAATAGTAATGGTAGTAGTAGTAGTAGTAGTAGCAGTAGTGGTTGTCGTCGCAGTAGTTATACTTGTAATACTGATAGTAGGCACCGCACTGGTAGTAGAAGTAGAAGTAGTAGTAATACATTAGTAGTTGTAGCACCCGTAGTAGCAATAGTAGCCTTAGTAGTAATAGTAGTAGTAGTAGTAGTAGTAGCAGTAGTAGTAGTAGTAGTAGTAGTAGTAGTAGTCGTAGTAGTAGTAGTAGAAGTAGTAGCAGTTGCTGTGGTGGTACAGCGTATACAAATTAGCGGCAGAACTACTAGCAGCAGTAATCGTTACAATGATGGCTGTAGAAGGGGTAGTAGCAGTAGTCGCCGTAATAACAATAGTGGTGGTGGTAAAAGTTGAAGTGGTACTCTTCCCCATCCCTCGTCTGCCTGAGCGCAAAGAAGATTGGACTGAAGTCAGAGCAAAATGCAAAACGCTGAAAGCACGCCCGGGGAACTAGGAAGCTTCCTTTTCAAAGCCGTTCCTGAAGTCGCTTGAATGTCCTCGTCCTCTTCCTATACGATCCCCATTACTACCCCCGGCGAGAAATGGACGTTCATCGGCCGTCACAAGGGGTGGTCCATCCCAGTGTATCGCTCCGCCCCCCGCTCGGAGCATTATCTCAACACCAGGGAACGCCTGGAAATGATGAATGCCCGCCCGCGGCAAACGGGTAGTAGCAGTGGTAGTCGTAGTAGTAGTAGCAGTCAGAGAACTAGTAAAAACAGTAATCGAAAAAATAGTAGCAATGTAGTAGTAGTAGTAGTAGTAGTAGTAGTAGTAGTAGTAGTAGTAGTAGTAGCAGTAGTAGTTGTAGTAGTAAGCGTAAAAGAAACAATGTAGTAGTAGCAGTAGTAGTAGTAGTAGCAGTCGGCGTACAAGTCATTGTCGCAATCGTGGTAGTAGTAGTAGTAGTCGTAGTAGTAGTAGTAGTAGTAGTAGTAGTAGTAGTAGTAGTAGTAGTAGTAGTAGTAGTAGTAATAGTAGTACTAGTACTAGTCAAAATAGGAATAATAATAGTGCAGGGACTGACAGTAGTCGTAGTACTGGTGGTAGCACGAGTGATAATAGTACGAACGGCAGGAACAGGGGCAATACGAATAGTGGTACAAGCAATCCGAAAACTACTACTAGTTGTAATAAACATATTATTAGTAGCCGCAGAAATAATCGTAGTAGTAAGTGTTCCAGTAGTACTAGTAGTAGTGATCTAGTAATAGCAGTAACAGTAACAGTAGTAGAGATAGTCGTTGTAGTAGCGGTAGCGGGAAGTAGTATTACGGCCAATACCCATACAAGAACTAGTTGCAGTAATAGTTGTGACAATGACTTGCAGTAGTTGTAGTACTGGTGTCGATCGATGGCAATAGTAGAAGCACTGATCGTACTGACAATACTTATGATCGTAGTTCTGGTGGTGGTAACAGGAGCAATAATACCACGCGTGGAAGTATAATGCATGGCAACAGTCATACCAATAATACTAGCAGAATGTTCGTACTCGTACTAACAATGGTAGTAGTACGACTACAAAAAAATACGACCCGGAGAAATGACAGTGAGAGTCGCAGTAATGCCAGCAGCAGCAGCAATAGTAATGGTACAACTACGACTACGACTAGCACCACAACTACGACTACGATGACGACTACGACTACGACTACTGCTACTGCTACTACTACTACTACTACTACTACTACTACTACTACTACCACTACGACTACTACTACTTCTACTACTACGCCTACCAGTACCTACTACTACTACTACTACTACTACTACTACTACTACTACTACTACTATTACTATTACTACTACTACTACGACTACTACTACTACTACTACTACTACTACTACGACCACTACTACTACTGCTAGTACTACTACTACTACTACTACTACTACTACTACTACTACTACTACTAGTACTACTACTACTAAAACTACTACTAATACTACTAATATGCCGACTGCTACTGCGAGTGCTACAACTACTGGTATACTACTACTACTACTACCACTACTACTACTACTACTACTACTACTACTACTACTACTACTACTACTACTACTACTACTACTACTACTACTACTACTACTATCACTGCTACTACTACTACTACTACTACTACTACGGCTACGCCTCCTGCTTGTATTACTACTACTACTACTAATAATAATAATAATCATAATAATACTAATACTACTAATTCGGCTGCTACTACTACTACTCTACTACTACTACTACTACTACTACTACTACTACTACTACTGCTACTGCTACTGCTACTACTACTACTACTACGACTACTACTACTACTACTACTACGACTACTACTACCACTACTACACTACTACTACTACTACTACTACTACTACTACTACTACTACTACTACTACTACTACTACTACTACTACTACTACTACTACTACTACTACTACTACTACTACTACTACTACTACTACTAGTACCACTACTACTACTACTAGTCACTCATACAACTATTTGTACTACGGTTAGCACGTGTAGTAGAGTAGTCGGTGTCGTAGTCGCAGCAGTGGAATTTACAGGGGCTGTGGTAATACGACTGGCCAAGAGCACTAGCAGCGGTCACGTCAGCATTACGAAAATTATAACAGGGCTCCTGGAAGTAGTAATGGCGGTCGCACGAACACTACGACGAATATTATGACTATTACTACTACTACTACTACTACTACTACTACTACTACTACTAGCTGTACTACTAGAACTACTACTACTACTACTACTACTACTACTACTACTACTACTACTACTACTACTACTACTACGACTACTACTACTACTACTACTACTACTACTACTACTCTACTACTACTACTACTACTACTACTACTACTACAAGAATAAATTGTCGCCGCGGTAGTAGGAGTAGAAGTACAGGCAGTAGCAATCGTAGTTGTATGCGTAATAGTTGTAGTAGTCGTAGTGGTAATAGTAATCATAGTAGCCGTAGTAGTGGTTATGATAGTAGTTGTCGTAGTAGTAGTAGTAGTAGTAGTAAGTTGTAGTAGTAGTAGTCGTAGTAGTAGTAGTAGTAGTAGTAGTATTAGTAGTAGTAGCCGTAGTAGTAGTAGCACTAGCACTAGTACTAGTCGTCGTCGTAGTCGTAGTAGTCGTGGTGATAGGAGTAGTACTGGGGGCTGTAGCAAAAGCTGTGGTCATATGCGTAGTAAAAATGGAAATTGAAGTGGAAGTCTTGATAGTAGTAGTTCAGATAGAATTAGAAGAAGGACTAACAGTGGTAGTAGTAGTAGAAGAAGTAATAGCGGATGGGGCAACAACCGTAGTAGCATGTGTAGTAGTAGTCGTACTAATAGTAGCCGTAGTAGCGCTACTATTAAGGCAAATGCAAGTAAAAGCTGTAGTCGTTGTGTTCAAGGCGATAGTGATAGTGAAAGCAACAAAAAAAGAAATGGTAGACGAAGAAAAACAGAGTGTAGTAGTAGTAGTAGTAGTAGTAGTAGTAGTACTGGTAGCAGTAATATCAGTAGTAGCGGTAGCACTCGTAGTCGGAGTAGTAGTAGTAGTAGTAGTAGTAGTAGTAGTAGTAGTAATCGTCGTCGTCGTAGTAGTAGTAGTAGTAGCAGTAATCGTAGTATTAGTAGTAGCCGTTGTTATTGTAGTATCGCAGTAGAAGTAACAATATTATCGGCAGTAATAGTAGTAGTAGTAGGCGTCGTCGTCGTCGTCGTCGTCATAGTACTGATAAAGGTGGTAGTCCTCCCCCTCCCTCGCTCCAAGCTGCCGTGGTAACGCTTCTGGGGTGCGGGCCTTTTGTAGAAGAAAGGGGGGTCCTTAACAACTTCCTCGGGATAATATCGGCGGATGTCTGGGAAACCGCACTGCATCGCCCGCCGGCGGAGCCGCCACTGTGGGGCTCACCGTGCGCACGTCCGTTGCCAAAAGGTGCTTCTGACGGCTGCGACGACGACTGAGCCAATGGAGGCGGCAACGACGGCGGGCCTCGAAGGTACCTGGAGGTGCGTAGGCCCCCGGATGCCCAGAAGGTCCCAGACATGGGGTCAGGCGGCGGCAGAAACATGATCCTCGATCCTCGTTGGCGGCGGCGCGGCGGTGGCAGCGGCCGGGACGGCGGCGGCGACGGCGACCCCTGAGATCTGAAGACCGATGGCCGTGGGCGCACTGGCCCGGGTCAGCTCAACCCCGGGTCGGCCGAGGCCCTGTCGCGCGCGACGCCTGGCCAGCCACTGAGTGGCTCCAAGAACGGCGTCAGCGGAGGACGGAGAAGGGGACTCGGCCCCACGTGGCTCCCAAACCGGGGCCAACCAGCTGGGATTGGCTGCCCCCCTTTGCGCGGACCCCAGTTACGTGAGCCCCGGCCCGAAATGGTCCTGGGGCCCGAAGAGGGGCGAAGACGCCCGGTGTGGGAAAACTGCAGCGCCCAGATCTCGAGGACGGCGGCGGCAGCAGCGGCGACGGGCGGCAGCAGCGGCGGCAGCGGCGGCGGCGACGGCGGCGACGGCGGCGGCAACGGCGGCGGCGGCGGAAACTACGGCGGCGTCGAAGAGGGGGCGCGCGTCCTGCCCGCAGTGGGTGGGGGCCCGCTCGACCGGCGGGCGCTCGGGCTCGGGCTTGTGGCCCGCCTGGCGGCGGCGCCGTAGGCGTCGGCGTCGCATTTGCCGTCGCAGTCGTCGCGGGCGTCGTCGCCGCTGGAGGCTCGAAGTTCGAAGGTCGAGGTCTTAAATGTTTGTGGTCCTTCTTCGGGCCACCAGAAATCTCCAGAGACATACCGCACGAGGGCCCGTAACTGGCCGAACTGGGGTGGCAGGATCCATTGGCGCAAGCCCCGCGCTGCTTGCTCTGCGTTCGCGTAGGAAGTCCCGAAGCTGGAGGTAGCAATCGGACCATCTGCCCAGGAATCGCCCCCGACTTCGACCTCAGCCATCTTCCCTCACCATCTTTCTCCTTCTCATCCTGCAGACTCCCTTCCTTATCGCATCCTCCCCGTCTTTGCCCTGATTACTTTGAATAGCCCTCACCACAGCAGAACACAACGAGTGAAAGGGATTTGCGTATGTGAACCTGCGTGGGACATGTGGTAGCAATCCCGACGACTTGATCCCTCACCCCCCCCTCCTGCTTGCTATTGCTGCTCATGCTCATGCTGCTCCTGATCCTTCTACTCATCCAACTCCCCTTCCTTGATCCCTCCTTCCTCCGCCTCCTCCGCCTCCCTTACACATCTTCTCTTCCTCTTCCTCTGCCTCGTCCGCCTCTTCTGCCACGTCCTACTCCTCGTTTTCAAACTACCATCATGTTCTTGATGCTGATATTCCCAATCCACTTGAGCATTCTGCTGCTCCCCCTCCTCCACTTCCTTCTCCTGCTCACGTTCTCAGTCCTCCTGGCATTTCGTATACAACGCGACCTCCTCCTCCACATCTTCCCGCTCCTCCATGGCTGCCTCGATTCCTTCGTCCCTCTTCCCTCTTTCCGTCGCTCACTCACTCAATCCTGGCTTCTGATAGGCCTCCGAGACGCACCCGAGAGGCTTATGAGATGCTACCAGAAGCCACTGGAGAGAGGTTCCCGAGAAACTTCCGCGGCTCCTGACCTTCCTGCGCGATGTCATCTGTTCTTGATCTTTACTCGGGAACCCTGTCGGGACCTGCCGCTAACGATTCTCCTTCGTTCCCGACATTTGCGGCGCGCCATCTTGTTCAATGACACGCGTAGTCAATGTTTGAGTGCAGGGCTGTACTTTCTCCATGCGCTCCACCTCGCCTTCCTCTATCACAAACATCATCGCCAAAAAATGCGATCACAATGAAATGAGTATTCGGGTGATCAAGAATCTGTGCCAGAGTGATTCAAGATTCGCCGCCTTGGAAATGTACCCGTAGAGAGAAACCCTCACCCGGATAGCGATTGCTCTACACGGAGAAGGAGGAGGAAGGGATGAGGGGGAGAAGCGCCTGTGGAGCAGGGAGACTGAGGAGGATGTGGTAAGAGAGGGGAATGCAACGGACTTATTCGTGTTGACACTGCTCACTGCGACCGTTCCGAACTCTTTACCTGGAGAACGAATCCCTTGCGGGAAGGAGATACGTAGGACAGGGGAGCGAGGATAAGCAATTAGCTCATGTTCACCATGCTCACAGAGATCGTCAGACGGCGTCATATAAATTAGTCAGGGGTAATTTTCTACGAGGCGGTACGAAGCACCTCTTCTGGACCTGCAGCCCAGGACTCTCCACATGGGGAGGCGCTGATCGGTAGTGGCTGGAAGGCAACTGCACGTAGTATAACCCTCGTAGATCGATGGCCGATATTTCTTATACTGTTTGCCTTCTCTCGCCTCCAGAAGCCTCAGAAAGCCTGCGGGGACCTCCAAGGACCTCTGGAGACCTCTGGTGACCTCCAAGCTGCGGCTAGGCCCCGCCCCGCCCCCGCAAAATGAATGAAACCGGAAGGTCCTTCGATTCCTGAGGCAGCAAGGTGCTGAAAACAGAACAGGATCTGACGCGGTAGAATCCGCAACCGTGCCTCTGACACGAAGCGGAGCGCCCAAGGCTCATGCAGCACTGAGGGGCTGAGGCTGAGCTGCTGCTGGTGCTGCTGGTGCTGCTGCTGCCGCAGCCAGAATTGTAAATCCTTAAGGGCCTGCACCAGCCGTTTCCCAGGCCGTCCTGGGCCGTCCTGGGTCGCCCCAGGGTTTCCCGGGCTGCCTCCCGTGAGCTCTGGGGTGCTTCCTGCAAGTCCTCTGGACGCGGTGCCCGCCCACAACGGTCCAAGAGAGCCCCGACTTGCCGGAACATGACTCACAGACGTCGTCAAGAGCCTCGGATCGGCCCCAGACACCTCCAAAACGGCCCCAGAAGGCATCCAACAGCACCCCGCCGAGGGGCCCCCCGAAGGCCGCAAGAGGCCCCCAAGAGGCCCCCAAGAGGCCCCCAAGAGGCCCCCGAGAGCGCCCCGAAGAGACCCCAAGAAGCATCCCTGAGAGATCTGACCCACAAGGCACGGTGGCGGGATGGGCCGAAGGCCATTCGGTAATGTGCGCGCGGGAGTGAACGCTGCTCGTCTGCGGCGCCCGGAGAGGCGAGAGCGGAGAACACGCGGGCTGCTGGCCTCCCCGGGGCCCTACAGCTAGCAGAAGTTGACGGGTTGACCCGATGAAGCCGACCGCAACATCCCCAGCGCCCGCACACTTTCAACCACTGGCGGCCAGCCTCGGTAAAGGCCGATTCCGACCCGCTCTCGTTGCTGCCCCACTGGCCGTGGCTGCCCCTGTCCACCTCTCTGTCGGGACGTCGAGGCGCCTCCGCCCTCGTACACGCTGCGCAATACGCCCGCGCGCCCAGCCCAGATCAGGACTCGTGGCTGACGGCCTCGCCACTGGAGCGCCCCACTCGTTGTGCGCACGCGCCTGCACCACCTCCACCATCCTCCTCCTCCCCCCCCGTCCGCATTCCTTCCCCGCGCGCCCTCCACACCCCTCGCGTGCCTGCCGTCGTGGACCTTCTCCTCCTCTTCCTCCTCCTCCTCCTCTTCCTCCTCCTCCCGAGGACGGGGCCCTCTGCTGGGCCCTCTGCTGGCACGCGGGCATGCTTCTGTCCGCGGGCCGCGCCCCTCTGCCCCCCCCCCCCCACCGAGGGCGAGCGCTCCCGCCTCCAGCGCAACCGCTTTTGTCGGTAAACTCGCGTGGAAGCGGCCGTGCTGCCCCATCCAAGGGGGGGGAGGGACGGGGCCCGCGGTGTGCCGCGCCGGCGCGGCCCCCGCTCACCCCACCCCCTTGGGTACCGGGCGCAAAACTCAATGGCTGCGGGGAGCGGCGGCGGTGGGCCCCGTCAGGAGCGGCCGCGGGAGGCCGCCGCCCGCCGCCGCGGGAGATGACGACCATGACGACGGGGGGGAAGGAGGACGAGAAGGTGGAACAGGGTCGTACGTACATGCGTACATACATACATATATACATACATACATACATACATACATGCATGCATACAAAATATATGAATGCATACATATATCATTACATACATAAATACATACATGCACACATACAGACAGGCAGACAGACAGACCGACAGACACACGGACAACCACATTTACATATATGCATGCATACATGCAGTCATACATACATACATACATACATACATACATACCTACATACATACACACATACACACAAACATACACACACACACACATACATACATACATACATACATACATACATACATACGTACATACAGACAGGCATGCACACCTACATGCATACATACACACATGCATACATACAAATGTAGATGCGTACATACATGAAAACAAACATGCATACATGTATACATACATGCATATACAGTAACATGCATGCATGAGTATATATATACGTGCGTGCATGCATACATGCATACACACATACCTACACACAAATAATCATGCGTCCACACGTACAAATCGACATGCATACATACACAAATCTATACAAACAAACATACACCAATCATGCATACGCATATACTCACAGACATGAATGAATGCATATGTACACGCATGCATGCATACATGCAGTCATGCATACGTGCACGCATGTACATACACAGTTGTATGATGCATACATGCATGCATGCATGCAGATATACGCACACGCACACATATCTATGTATATACATATACATATATGTATAGACATGCATGCATGCAGGCATGCATACACACATGCATATATACACACATACATACATACATACATACATACATACAGACAGACAGACAGACATACATACATACATGCATACATACATACATACATGACACGACATGACATGATATACATACATACATACATGCATACATCTGGTCATACATACATGCGTACACGCACAGACACACATACATACACACCTACCTATACATACGCATACACATACACATACACATACACGTACACGTACACATACACATACACCTACACATACACATACACATACACATACACATACACTAAACTAGACTACACTACACTGTCCTACATTGCACCACTATACACTACGCTCCACTACACACCATTACACTCCGCTCACTGCACTGCGCTGCACTGCACTACACTACACTACACTGAACTACATACAGATGCATGTACGCATGCACCTGTATACATATACACAGATAAAATGTGCAATCGAAGCATACGGAGTAGGACCCCTCAAGCCCGCGCATAAATGGACCCCACAAGTGCAGCATTGCACTACCCACTGTGATGAGCGTGGTCTGTCGTCCTGACACACCCTGTTGCATGGTGTCGAGGGCCCAGTCTGCACTCCGAAAACACAAAATCTCTTCAAGACGAAACCTGACCTGACAAAAACGGGAAGCGCCCTTCTACTGCGCTGTCTTGAGGCCCTCAAAAGAGCGAGTCCACGACGATGTTCGCTCAGTCCCAATGGAAGTCAATGGCTGCCGGATGTCAAGCGAAACGGCCAGGGGAGCACAAGGACAACGAGGAAGAGGACAAGGACAAGAACGAGGAAGAGAACGAGGAGTACAAACACGAGGAGTGCGGAGGCGGACGACGAGAATGACAGCGGTGAGGATGGGAAGGACAGCGATGGGGGACAGGAGGACAACGAGGAGGAAGAACACAAGGATCATGAGGAGCAGCCCCACGGGGCCTTGAACGTGAATCCATTCCCTGGCCCTGGGCGCCCTGAGGATAGGTAGTGAGTTCGAGTCTCTGCTGGAAGACTCGACGTGAGAGAGTGAGAGGTGTACGTGTCCATAGTTCTTAGGGCCACACTTGAGAGAGGTGCTCTGGAATTGAAGAGCACAAATGCTCTGCATAGATGTATATATATATATATATATATGTATATATATATGATATTCACACTGTGTAGCCACATCGTATCACATGCGTACACATGTTGTTATAACTGTAAAACTGTGAAGTGGCGGGGGCGCTGGCGCTGCTGCTGCCCCTGCTCCTTCTGCAGCCGCTTATCTGCCACCTTCATCTGCTCCATCCTCCTCCTCCTCCCCCTCCTCCTCGTCCTCCTCCACCTTGATCTGCTCCATCCTCCTCCTCCTCCCCCTCCTCCTCGTCCTCCTCCACCTTCCTCTGCTCCATCCTCCTCCCCATTCTCCTGCTCCTCCTCCTCCTCCTCGTCCTCCTCCTTATGTTCCTCTTCCGATTCATCTTCCTGCGCGAGAGAGCCAAGCTGTGCCGACCAGTCCAACCCACCAGAGATCAGGGTGCGTGCACGCACGCACGCGTCGCGCGCGTCCTCGGATGCAGCCTTCTCTCTCTTTTCGTCCCCCGAGGCGTCCCTGTCATTGGCAGCTCCTCCAGGGGCGACCAGGCAGAGCGACGAGGGCGCGGACGACGCAGAAGAGGGGGGGGGGGGAGATGGCGAGAGTGCAGCAAGATGGAGACGAGCCACAACAGCAGCAGAGCGTCGGCCGGTCGGTGAAGACCTGAGGACATCATGCCACAGCGGCTTCTTCCCGTACGGACCGCGCCCCACGCTCGCTCGGAGGCTCTTGCGTGTAATTTGGCGGCCGCGCGCCGCCACGTGGCCACTCCGCAGCGGCCCTGTTGAGAAGCCGCACCTTCGCGGAGCTGCCCTGAGGTCCAGCCGCTCCATTTTGTTTCGCACCAGGCCTTCTCGCCTGGTTTCGGGCCTCTGGACCATCACGAATCGACCCGACTCGATGAGAAATGCAGCAGGAAGATGGAGTCTAGAGCTCTGGTTGCAATTTTTCGCGATGCTGCATTTCTTTAGCATCGTCGGTTCTCAGCGCGGGAAGTAGGGAAGGGGGATGAGGCGGCAAGAGGGGCAGCTTGAAGCGAGGAGAGGCTGCAGCGGCAGGACGTGCAGCGGCGGGCGGATGCGTCGAGCGTGCGGCACCACTCCTGCCTCGCCGGGTGAGGGTGCATGGGGACCGGCAAGATCGGGCAACCGAGAGCTCGCCCCCCGAACGGCGCCCGCTGGGCACCGCCCGCGTGAGGCGCCGCCGCCCGAGCTCGTGGTGGGCGGGCGCGCGCACTCGGTGGTGCTGCCGCCGCGGGGGTGCGGGCTGCGGGCAGGCCGCCTCTCGCGCTCGAGGTCGCCTCAGACTCTGCTCGCTGGCGGTCCCGATCGCTCCCTCCGTCCGGACCGGGAGAAGCCGGCGGCGCGCACAAGGGGGGGTGGAGGGAGGGGGGAGGGCTCCTTGGAAGGAGGCTGCTCCTTAGAAGGCGCCGGCCTTACCTACATCTACAGATGAAGCCCCCCCCCCCCCCACCCCCTCTGCGCGTGGCTGGAGGTGGCCGCACGGTACCGAGACAGGGATACAGCGGCACACCGCCGAGGAAGCTCGGCCCTCGAGGCCCGGCCCCTGGCCGCGAGGCACTGCCTGGACGAGCTGAGGCGGCTCGTGCGCGGGAGAAGGTGTTCGAGCCCCTGAGCGGATATACAAACGTACATACTTATACATATATATACACTCATATACATATACATACCTATATATATATATATATATACACACTAGAACCACGCGCGAACGTGCGCTACGCGCGCTTAGGTTCTAGTCAACTCTGAACACCTCATCCGCATCCTCCTCCTCAAGAACTATATCCTCATCCACTCTCATGGCAGGCAGGCGCAATGCTGGCGTCAACGCCGTCGTCGGCGTCGTCGTCATGGTCGCGGGTGGGGGAAGGAGAAGGAGGGAGAGAAGGAGAGGGGAGGGAGGGAGGCAGGAGGCAGGTAGGTAAGAACGGAAGCAGACAGGCAGGAGAGGCAAAAAGGAAAAGGACGGGAATTGGAGAGAGGGATGGATCAACGGATGAGTCAGTATTCCTCCTCCTTCCTTTTGCCCGCTTCTTGATGTTTTTTTCTCCTCCTCCTCCTCCTCCTCCTCCTCCTCCTCCTCCTCCTCTTCATTCCCCTCCTCCCCCACCTCTCCTCCTCATCCTGGTTGATGCTAGAATGCCACGGCAAGGTCTGAAAAATCTTGCCTAGGATGCGAGATCGAAGAAGAGGTCTGGAAATGTCTTGGGCAAAAAAACAGAAATCGGGAAGGGCGTCCCGGCCCGGGGCCCGGGGCCCAAATGCCCTCGTATATTATGTACACCGCACACCCACGCGACACGAACTCTCTGTCGACTCACCACTCACGTGCGGTTACATCCGTGCGCGAGTGTGTCCGCCTAGTCATGAGTTCGTTCCTCCTGTTCGCCGCCGCCTACTCTGACATCTCGGTCACCTTGTTCGTCGTGAAGTGAAAGTCGCAACTGGGCTGCAGCAGCGGCGCGAAAAGCGTCACAACGGGCTTCTGCAGCAGCCCCACCGTGACGCCGAGCGCAAGGACGACGGTAAGCCACATACGCATCGTCAAATACTGGGCGTTGCCGTCGGTTGAATAATCGCAGGTTGCCTGGTAGTACCCCAGCTGCTCGATCCCCATCAGCACGGCTATGTGCTATGTGCAAGAGAGAAGACAAAGGCGACGTAGGTACATTACCCCCACGTTGCCAGCCGCAGGGGGATCCTTGCGCCAAGACTGGTCTGCTCCCCCTCCAGCAGCCGCGCTGCGCGCCGCGACACGGCCCTCTGACCGTCCTTGAGTCCGGGCACCAACACGCCCGCCGCCTGTGGGGTGGGGATCAGTGCAAAGACGGTGAACATGGTGAGGGTTGTCCAGGCGAGCAGGCTGCAATCACGCTACGACTTTACTGGGGCCTTGATTTGGCACAATATGCAGGACACTCGGAGGATATACAGCTCTATTACGCCTCGTGTGCTGATGGATGATGCACCACTGCAGCAGGT